TATTACTAATTTTAACAGCTACAAAGAAGGAAAAAGATGTCATTTTATTCGTACGTAATCCTATGATATTAAAGCCAATTAAAAGTACACGTGTTTAGTCTTCGAATATATATATCAGTTAATCGCTATTAATTAATGACGTTATTTATATCTGCCTAATAGTTCACGAGGATCAAAGGAACAGCTGGTATAGAGATACTACCGAAAAATCCAGAAAGAAGACGTACTGATTACAAAATCCTGTGTTTAAAAAAAGCAAAAAAAAAAAAACAACGATATAACACGTTCGTTTCTGTGTAAACACAAACATAAAAGCTTAGTTCTCCGAACAAGGAGTACGTGTGTTTGGTGTTCGGTAACATATTCTAAAAGTAGGTTGGCATAATCATTACATATATTTATTTTACACTGTTATTACTCAGCTACGTGATGAAATACTAGCATTAAGCATCAACAGTTCAGGTGTTAGAACTTTCAATAGATAGATAGAGTTAATTTCGTGAGGAAAATGTAGATTTATTCATAAGAATATAAGCATACTTGGTGTTATATATTTATATCCACGAAAAAAAAAGTTTGTTTGAAAAACAAAGAAATGAAATATGATTAAGATGCATAGAACATATAAAAACCACTATTAATAGCAACAATCTGAAAAAAAATGATTTTTTTTCATTCGTAACTCCATTACACGTATTCCATTTCCCTCCAAATTTAGTAAGAATATTAAGATCAAACACGATAAAAGTATTCAGGTATTTAAAAAGTAGATCATGATGAACTTCAATAAAACATCCATGATTTTTATTTCTAGTTAAACCACGAAATTTTCAAATTAACTTAAACCATCTGAGTGAAGTTTTCGCTCCCCACATCGGGATATCTGCTGTGTCCACCGAAGGAAATCGAACCCCTGATTTTAATATTGTGAATCCCAAGACTTACCGCTGTCCCAGCGGGGTACATGAACAGCAGGAAGTCTACGGGTTTACAACGCTAAAATCTGGGATTAGATTCCGCGAAGTTTTTGATTTATTTATTCTACATCATATGAACCTCTACAGGATTTGTTCACGTCTTCTAACTACTTTATATAGAAATTCTGGCGAAATACAGGTTAATATTAGCTCTTGTTTTAACTTTTACCTTTAACCTACTTTTATCAAACCTTCAAATACTGGTTACTAATAGACATTACAGCCTAAATTCCGTTTAGTTAAGATGTACATAAATTTCAATATTTGCTTCCTAATTATTCCAGTGTAATCTGTACCAAAGGAAAATAAGTGATCACCGACTTCTATTTTAAATTGTAAGTCAATGAAATAGAGCTTACGATGAGACATTATTCGCAAAAGTTTCTAGATACATGGTGGTAATTACTAACTAAAGATTTTTTTGGTACATAGGGGTATTAGAGATTGAACCAAACAGATCATATGTTATGTTTGAGAAAGGAAAGAAACTATCCAGTACACGTGTAATTAAATTTAATATAAGAGTATTTTTCATAACCAGAAGTTTACATTAAACAATGAGCTTTAAACGCAATCAAAATAAAATGTGTCACAAATGTTTGCTAAAAAAAAAATATGTTACTTCAAACAATTTTCATCGGAATTTTATAATGAAAATACTGAAGATATGGAGCTGTTTTCTCAACATTTATCTACCTTAAGGCTCTGTTTAATATGTATTAAAAATCTTAAGTTAATATACTGTATGAACAACTCTGAACTTTTGAAAATATATCAGTTATTCTCAAAATATTATTATATAATTGACGATAACTAGACGTGTAAGACTAGAGGGAAGGCAGCTAGTCATCACCATCCACCGCCAACTCTTGGGCTACTCTTTTACCAACGAATAGTTGGTATGACCATCACATTATGACGCACCCACGGCTGAAAGGGCGAGCATGTTTGGTGTGACGGGGATTCGAACCCGCGACCCACAGATTGGGAGTCAAGCGCCCTAACCACCTGGCGATGCTGGCTCTTTCCAAAAAGTAAAAACAGACAACATTATGAAGCAACTGACACTTCCTAATATAAATTAAAATAGCTGCCAATCACCCAAATGTACAACCATCTCACTCCTCGTAAACCGTACAACTTACAGTGAAAATTCAAAGGAGATTATTATCGGAAGGAACATTATAATATCGTGAGAAATGTGTGTTGAAAGAAACGGAATCGTTCCAGTTGTACCTTAAAGTTATTATCTCATTACAAATGTGCTTTTAAGCTATAACACTGGCATCTTAGATATGTTTTGAAATTTTGTTATTAAAAGTATGACGAAAAGATTATACAAATGGTTGAGTAGGTTATATTCAGACGATTTCGAATATAAAAATCATTAAGGCAAGTGATAACTACAGCCTATATAAAGTCACGTTGGAACATCTTGTAACAGAACTACAATTTAACAGTGTTTGGCGTTACGTAGATAGTGTGATACTATCAAAATCTGATTGCTTTTGAGACAGATATTTTCATCAGATCAGTAATTTAGAATTTCTAAACCGGGGATATCCATCGTACCTAATACCATTGGAAAACAAAGGTATGTGGATTAACATGTGACACCAGGAGCATCCAGAAAGAGACTTACAACAAGTCCTAATCCAACCATGGTAAGCAAAGTGTGGTGTTTTGTACGTGTGAGAATATACGAACACAGAGGTCAGCGAAAAAAGCCTTCACGTGCCCCAGTCAACAGTTCACATCATAATCAAGAGGACCTCCATCTGGAAGAACAATTCAGGTCACGTGTGTACAAGTTGCTTCCACGACATATCCGTTTAACTGCCACATGCATCTAGTAACTGGAGTACGAAACATACATGTATATTTGTGTTATTCCATACGAATGTCTACCGGTCAAGTCAACTATGTATGTTTGTGCGATTCATGGAAAAGGTGCTGGGAAACCACTGTCTTCACGCACTAGGTGGCTTAAGGAAAAATTGCAAGGAAGAGAGGTGTGCTTTGGACATGAGAGCCTTATCAGGAACCTTTTGCAAAGAACACTACACTGCAGGGATATTGTCAATACGCACGGTCGTCACACAGAGCACGACCGCACGTGGCGACATGGACTGTAACGACATGGTGAGGCTGGAAAATCATTCTAATAAAATGTACTCCACCTCTGCATTATCATCGCCCTTTTCTTGGGTCCTTTATTGCTACAATAACTGTACTTGAGTTTTATTTTACACGCTATAATATCATTACTACAACAAGTGTACTTGGGTTTGTACTTTATACGCTCTAACATTATCACAGCTGTACCTTTAGTTTTAAATATTATGGAAAATGTTGTTTTAAAATATATCATACCTGGTTTAACTCAGTTAGGCCGCGCAGAATTACCTGTTGTTTCAACAAAAATACTAATGTTGGGTACAATAATTGTGCAGGGAACAAAACTGCTAAATGTGTAATCAGAAGTTTCCGGGGTTATCCTAACTTCCTTATAACGAAGCATGTGGCACAATATCTGTTATAAAGCTACAAAGAAGGATATTTTAAATCACATGAGAATGTGTAAGGGAAAAGTTTGGTGTCTCTACCAGGTTAAAAATAATTTGTTTTGTTTTGATAGCGAAGTTTCTTTATTTATTTAATGTTTCTATTTCTTTCTTTTTAATCTACAAAACCAAAAAATAAATAAAAATGTATGTGCTAATGTTTGATGACTCAGTTATTAAAAACCACTTATAATCGATCTTAACTACCTAATTAATAACTTCATTTCCCCACCCCCCGGTGACTCAGCGGTAAGTATGAGGGCTTATCCCGCTAAAAATAGGGTTCCGATACCCGCGGTGGACACAGCACAGATAACCGACTGTGTAGCTTTGCGCTTATCAACAAACAAACTTTTTTTTTTCTATATCACTTTCCAGAAAGTAATTTCAAAACAACTAAACACTTTAAAGTTAATTTATATAGTAAAAGTAATTTCCTTTTTATTAAAATTAGCTTAGAGCCATTCTGTTTGGAACTTGGGATTAATAAATATGAAGGGTAGGATGGAACAGCCAAGCACATTTATTTCTCAGACAATGTAAGTACTTTCTAATTTTTCACATTGTTTGATTTGTTTCTTTAGTTTGGCGTAACTGTAAAAAAAAAAGGGCTTTCTGTGCTGTGTCCCCCGCGAGGATCGGACCCCAAACTTTAATATTCGTCAGAGAAAGGATGTAGAAGTGAAACATATCATTTAATCCTAAACTTTTACTAATTAGCATCACTCGATTTCGTATAAATCTAATAAAACTGAGTGTATTTTAATATGGGAATACACACATAATATTTTATTGATCAAATGTTCATAATCTTAGTATCAAGATCTTAAAAAACATTTGGCATGTGAACTTCAAACCTTCACAGCACAAAATTTGTGTATTTTCCCTAACCGGTTACCTTTTTCTTTTTCAATTATTGTTAACCGTGAAAAACAATTTTTGGTAAAAACATTTTAATGGGCCACTTCTTTCTCTTATCTTATGACTGTATTTGTCTGTTTGAAAAAAATAAAACAGACGTTAGCATTACTTCCCTTTCATCAAAGTATCTAATCTTTCAGAACAACACAAATTTGCATTTATATCTAAAACTGTTGTTTATTAAACAAATTACAGTTAGAAATAATTCAAGACTGTCTAGTTAATAAGACAGGCATGAATTATCAACAATCATCTATCTGTTATTCCTGAATTCAACACGCTAATTGCACCAGAATGAATGGGCGTGTGCCGGATCCCACCTACGACTTTTCTTAACTACTTGGAACACATCGACAGCTGACGAGCAGTTCTGCTGATATATATAAATATATACTTAACCATATTTAGACACGTACTATTTGTCTCTGTGTCTTATGTAGAAAAAAAAAGACAAATAGTATTTATAAAGTGAACAAATACTTCTCGTGTATTTTATGACAGGCTCGTTTTTTCTTTTTAACTACTGACCTTGTCTCTTTGTTAGAAATGTCACTTAGTGCACAAACGGATGCTACAGCCTCCCGCTTGTTACAACAACTCCGGCAAGGCATCATCATCCGCGTTGGTGGTAAGAAACCCCAAGTAGAAAACTGCCCATTTGCGAATATATATATTTTTTTTAGACTTGGCGAGTTTTTTTCACGGGTTGCTATATTATTCAACCCATTAAATTAAACTGTGTTTCTGCTTAAAATTATTCGTTCTCTTACATAATCAAAGGGAAAATATACTAAACATAAAGTCACATTTTTTATAACTATTAATAATCATTTTTTCACCTAACACTTTTTTTTGTATTTTCAATACAATAATTTTTTGAAGGACTCCTTCAACCCAACAAGTTGTATAATACTGTAACTATTCTCACAAGCTCTTGGTAGATCGCATAGTACTCTGTGAAGTGGGCCAAGAAAGGAGTCTAGACTCGTACAGCTAGCATCACTACTAGGACAGGGGCGGGTGAAAACAGAGATAGCCACGTCAGTTTTGTTCTGCTCAGTTGGGGACGACGTACTGCAGTGAGAACACTCTTCTTATCGGTTGCAGAGATCCAAGTATAGATTTTCTTGGCTCGGTAGCTTCGTGAGTCTTATTCAGCTGAGGTTGTTTTTTTATTTAATCAAGGTAGGAAAATCTTGAATTGTAAATATAGCCTGTATAAGGATTTTTAAGCTAATATTACAATGAGGAGAAAGTATATAATTTATGCAATATAAAAACCACTGTAAGATAAATTGATATATGTAATATAAAAACCACTGTAAGATAAATTGATATATGTAATATAAAAACCACTGTAAGATAAATTGATACATGTAATATAAAAACCACTGTAAGATAAATTGATTTATGCAATATAAAAACCACTTTAAGATAAATTGATATATGTAATATAAAAACCACTGTAAGATAAACTGATTTATGTAATATAAAAACCACTGTCACATACATTGACAGGTTGTTTGTTTATACCTTCATGTGCATAATTTAATTTGGAGTTTATAAAACAGACAAACGGTATCTTGACGTGTGTAAACTACTTCATTAGGACAAAGGATAATAAACACCTAGGAAAGAAATGCTAAGATTTTCTTTTGTACTTGATATAATATGGAGATTTTTATATTTAGTGTTGTGGAGTCAAAAATTCGTTTCAGAGAGTTGTCGTAAATGTCTTGTACTTTCCTTTTCAGTAAAATCCTTTTTGAGTCCTTAAGATTTAAGAAACATAGTTTTCTCTCCTGAAGTTGTTCAGTAAAAAAGTCAAATAATTTTGAAATGAGATTTGAAAAAGATCAGTTATAATTTAAGTCATTTTTTTTACAACTTTAAACTGATTCATCTATTAATTTATTTAAAACGGCACTTTTGGTGCAAAGTTAGGTTATTTGAACAAAGTAAAATGGATTGTTCTCACATGGAAGCTGCAATAGAGTAGGCAGGTATCATTTTTATACTAATTAAAAGATGCGAACTATGGCTAACAAATTATACAAACTGTCATAAAAATTCTGATTTTTTTCAAACGTTATCCTAAAACTCAACAAACTTCGTTTGAAATAATATTCTTTAGTTGTTGCCATGATCTTCACAGTAGCTTCTGTCCGATCAAAGGTGAAGTACATGTTGAAAGTTCAACACTGCAATTCGCTTTTCACATATCAGACAGTAAGCAAAACGTAGACTGACTGTGTAGAAGTTGAAAGTTTTGTGCTTAAAGAAACTTACAGACTCTTATTCTGCAAAATCAGTTGTTATTAATTTGTTATAAGTTCACATTTTTTCTAAGCTGTAACAAATCTCTACAGAAATGTTATCGAATGACCGGTATGTTTAAATGTTGTAGTCATACCCGAAATCTTTCAGCGCTGTTTCACAGGAGTGGTGGTGTTGAATTTTGATGAGAAATTTAAACACCTAACGATTAATTCATTCATTAAAGCAGCTGTTTATTCGGTTGCATAGTATTAGTGAGTTCCTTGTGGGCAAACTTCAGAACCTTATATTACTTAATCGCTTAAAATGGTAGAATGTAAATAAACCATGAAACCACTTCTATTTTGCGTGGATTTTTAGAGTGTCATTGTGAAAATTAATATTCTGGTTGCGTCAAATCATATGAATACTGAAGTAAAAATTGATTATGCTAAAATAAAAATGAACGGTAACATCCCATTTTTTCTTCTCCCATTGGCAATAGACGAAATGGGAATAAACCTAAAAGAATACAATCATCAGGTTGTCAAATATAGAATAAGGTTTAGATATAAAAAAAAAAAACACTTCGGCACAGTTCTAGAAACAAAGCATTTTTTGTCTTTATACAGTTTACAATACGATGCAATAGACTTTTAAAACACTCACACATCGACATTTTTATATACATGCACAAATATATCACATAAAAAAAAACTAGTTTGTTCTCAAGAAATTATAATACTGCTTTAAAGTTTTTCATTTACAATAAAGTGGCATACTAATTTTACAGAAAAAAATATAAAGCATTTATTTTGGTATATGATTACATTAGAGTAGACTAAATGGGAGTAAACCACATGAACGTGTGTGCACTTGAACGTTTCATGTCATAGATTGAATTTTCGATTATGAAAGCACATATCGTAAGCAATTGGTTATGCTTGCAAGTACTAAGTCTTGTGTGTAATTAAGATATGGTATATAAAAACAATAAAAAAAAATTATCTGTCCCAACTTAGTGATGTAAGCAAACTGTATAAACACGTCTGAAATGAAACAGAATGAAGCGTTGTGTGGGAAGATCTGATATAAATTGTAATTTTAGTTAATGAAATACTATAAGCCTAGCATGAGTAAATCCAACAGAGAAAAACATATTTTAGTGGCTACAATGCTATGTGATTCAATTAATATTTTATCATTAGCAAGAACGATTAGTGATACGTGAGTGAAAATAAAACTCATTCAGTTCGACATCACTAAGTGTTATCGTGTGAGTTAAATATTCTATTTTATCATTTTTCTTTCCGTCTATGCATTTAAGTTAGCGTTTGAAACTTGAAACTTTACTAGGTAATTGAAATGCTAGTACCGTATTCGAGGTCAGGATCTGTGAACGTAAATTCCGTACTTCACGCACGTACTTTTAGTGCAGTATCTCCCAAAGCGTTCCTCAGTATCGTGTTGACTGAAAATTCAATGCTGATATTGCGCGTGCTCATTCTAAGAGATTTTTACGATTTCATAATTGAACAAGAAAAACAAACTTGTATTTCTGATAATGAGACAAAAGTCTCTTTCTGAGCGATTCAAACGCTTCGCGATAGACTTAAAAAGTTGCATTTCAGTGATTGCCCAACACTGAATCCCACTCTGACGATATTTTCTTCTAAGAACTAAATATGATTGAAATAAAACATTGGCAACATGATTCTCCGGATTCTTCTACGTGAATACAGCCCGTAGGAGTGCCCAGTGACGTCACAGCTCCTAAAACAAAATCAAGTACATCTTAGCACCTACTGGATTTTCACATTTTATTGCTTATTGGGTTTTTAGATTTTATCACCTTCCCGATATTTAAATTTTTTTCACCCACTGGATTTTTCATTTCATAACACACTGGATTTTTACACTTTATAACCTACTGGATTTTTTAAAGTTTAGCACCTACTTGATTTTTACCAAAATCTAATAAACTTACGTGCAGAATTAAAGTTCTATTTTAAATCCAATATGTTGAATTCTGATTTTATGATATGTTTAGGGCCAGTCTTGGTGCATACAGCATGTGTCATTAGTCAACAACCTTTTCCTTTTGTTGGAGTAGAAATGTAACTCTCTAGTGGTGGTAACGATAGACGTCACTGGGCAGTGAACTCCCAGTTATTAGCAGGAGAATGAGAATGGAGCATTGTTTTGGACAGTGCGATACAATTAAACTATTTCTTAATTCTGTTGGTAGTGCATAAAAAAACACTCTTGCTAATTGTTTACCAGTTCATTGACTCTTGTGAAAGGTCACTAGGCATCAAATGATTGCTCTTGAAATTCTATTCTGACTGCCTCTATGAACCTTTTTTTTTTTAAAGCACAGGATGTTAAATATTATATCAGTTTGTACTGAGCCGGACCATATCAGATGCATTTAGAATACGTAAGTAATTACGAGCATAATGATTGATAGCAAACAACTGTTCTTGAATTTAGAATTTTATTATAAATAATAAAATGTTATACATGTAAGGAGCTTTATAGTGAGTTGAAACCTCGATAAAATAATGGTGACTCATATGATGTTTACTATTGAAAATATTTTAACTAAAAACGAGTAGAACAGTGGAATTATTCGTATTCTCTCCAGACTGTAGAAACTAAAACATAACTAGTAAAATACCTGACGTTGGTATTAAAATTTCATCTATAAGAGTATATCATACAATTCTCTTGCCCCTAGTCAAATTCAACTGGGTATTTCGACCATCTTAACCAACCAATCAACCTACTGCGCGTGAACCGTAAATTTACAACCAACACATTGTGTTGGTTGTAAAATTACGGTTCATGCACAATAGGTTGGTGTTGGTTGTAATATCATGAAATGTTAAGATTGTGTTGGCTGTAAAATTACGGTTCATGCACAAAAGGTTGGTGTTGGTTGTAATAGCATGAAATGTTAAGATTGCACAATAGGTTGGTGTTGGTTGTAATATCATGGAAGGTTAAGGTGAGCCGTAAATTTACAACCAACACAATCTTAACATTTCATGATACTACAACCAACACCAACCTATTGTGCATGAACCGTAATTTTACAACCAACACCATCTTTTCTATCACAAACAGCATTGTCGAAACCAGCATCTGTTTAATTGTTGCAATTTGTTGAACAAATGTGAACAAGTGTTTTGTATTTAAATAACTATATATTTCAGTTGTTTGTAAAAACTTTGATAAATAAAATGGCACCATATACTCTTTAAATAAAGTCCTAAAAATAACTGTTATGATGACAATTCTTAGATAAAATCTTGATAAAAACTGTACAGTTTATACAGATATTCATAAGAAGAAGAAGAAACCACAAAATGTTCTTCATCCACCAGATGGTCACGATGATGATGGCTGTCTTTTGCAGAATATCGTAATTAATGCTTCTCTTTGAAAGCTTGACATTCCACATTTGAATAAGACCGCGGAAAACGGATGAAGTTTCACTGAAACTTATTTTTGTTTCTCCATTTAATGTGTGAAAAGTGGCGTTGTCAGATAATTAACAGGCTGCACAGAAGAAAAACATGTGAACATGAATATGTCGAGAATGTGTTTTTATCGTTTCAAAGATCATTACTTCTGCGTGACAAGTTATGTTATGACTCACTTATTTGAAGGTTTTTAAATGTTTTAGGCTTAATATTTATGTCCGAACGTCAGGTTTTTGCATTATATTTGTTTGACTGTGAGAGTTAAGGCGGGTGAAGGTAAAATTAGGCTTAGAGAGACAAATAGGACCATGTCGTTTTGTTTATTTTGGTGCTTGTGGTCCTATTTGAACACTCTTAAATTTCAACACATCAAGGGTTGAAGCATATTTTAAAATACATTAATCTGTTTTCAAATGACATTGCATAAATCAAATTAGAATA